GAACTTGTGGCAATAATGGCAACTGATAGTGTAGATTTAGTCGCTGTTACTGAGACATGGTGCAATGAGAAAAATGACTGGGACATAGCAATACCAGGGTACTCTTTATATAGGAAAGATAGGGAAGGCAAGAAAGGGGGAGGGGTGGCCTTGTATGTGAAGGATAGCATAAAATCTAGCCTAATAAAAGTTAGTGAGGCAAACATAGAGTCCGTTTGGGCTACGTTAGAATTTGGTAATCACACAGTAACTCGTGTAGGTGTGATTTATAGGCCCCCTGGACAAATTGAAGAGTTAGATAATCTACTAGTTGAGGAAATAGCTAAAATGACAATGAAGGGGGAAGTTATCATCATGGGTGACTTTAATCTTCCTGATGTAAATTGGAAAACAAAATTAGCTACTTGTGCCAGGAGCACACATATTCTAAACTCCCTACTGGGTTTGTCTCTAAAACAAGTTGTTGAGGAGCCAACTCGTGAAGAGGCCATACTAGATTTAGTGTTAACAAATGGAGATTTAGTATCAGATGTTACTGTAGGTGAAAGTTTAGGATCCAGTGATCATGAGTCAGTGTGGTTTAATATAAGAACAGTGACTGAGTCACACCACACAAAAACAAAAGTTTTAGACTTTAGAAAAACAGACTTTTCTAAAATTAGAATATGGCTAGAGGAGTCATTATCAGACTGGAGCAATTTAAATGGAGTCCAAGAAAAATGGGATTATTTAAAAGTTGCACTATTGAAAGCAACAGAAAATTGCATTAGGCTTGTCAGTAAAAGCAAAAATTCAAGAAACCACTGTGGTACTCCGCAGATGTGGCCAAAATAGTTAAAAACAAAAAGTTAGCATTTAGGAATTATAAAAAAAACCCAGAGTGAGGGAGACAAAATGATCTATAAGATTAGGCAGAAAGAGGCCAAGCAAGTTATAAGAGCTTCCAAATCACACACAGAAGAGAAAATAGCACAGACAGTAAAAAAGGGGGATAAAACATTTTTTTAGATACATAAATGAGAAAAGAAAAGTAAAACAAGGATTAGTTAGATTAAAAACAAAAGAAGGAAGGTATGTAGAAGAGGATAAAGGTCAGGCTGACTGCCTCAATGAATATTTTGTTCTGTATTTACAGAAGAAAATGAAGGAAAGGGACCTCAGTTGAGAAAAAGGATAAATGAGTCATTTATTACACGTGAGTTTACAGAGGAAGAGGTTCTATTTCAACTGTCAAAAGTAAAGACAAATAAGTCAATGGGACCTGATGGAATACACCCAAAGCTATTAAAAGAGCTTAGTGGTGTACTAGCAAAACCATTAACAGATTTATTTAACCAATCATTGTTAACAGGTGTAGTCCCAGAAGATTGGAAGTTAGCGAATGTTGTGCCCATTTACAAGAAAGGTAATAGGGAGGAGTCGGGCAACTATAGGCAAGTAAGCCTTACTTCAGTAGTGGGGAAAGTGATGGAAACCATGTTAAAGGATAGGATTGATGAGCATCTAAAAACACATGGATTTCAAGATCAGAGACAACATGGGTTTACTAAAGGGAGATCATGCCAAACTAATCTTATTGATTTTTTTGATTGGGTAACTAAAATTATAGATCAGGGTGGTGCAGTAGACATTGCTTACCTAGATTTCAGTAAGGCTTTTGACACTGTTGCACATAGAAGGCTTATCAATAAACTGCAATCTTAAGTTTGGATTCCAATATTGTTGAATGGGTAAGGCAGTGGCTGAGTGACAGGCAACAGAGGGTTGTAGTTAATGGAATATATTCGAAGCTTGGACTTGTCACCAGTGGGGCACCTCAGGGATCTGTACTTGGACCCATTCTCTTTAATATTTTTATTAGTGATATTGCAGAAGGTCTTGATGGTAAGGTATGTCTTTTTGCTGATGATACTAAGATATGTAACAGGGTTGATGTTCCAGGAGGGATAAGCCAAATGACAAATGATTTAGGTAAACTAGAAAATGGTCAGAATTGTGGCAACTGACATTTAATGTGGATAAGTGCAAGATAATGCATCTTGGACGTAAAAACCCAAGGGCAGAGTACAGAATATTTGATAGAGTCCTAACCTCAACATCTGAGGAAAGGGATTTAGGGGTGATTATTTCTGATGACTTAAAGGTAGGCAGACAATGTAATAGAGCAGCAGGAAATGCTAGCAGAATGCTTGGTGTATAGGGAGAGGTATTAGCAGTAGAAAGAGGGAAGTGCTCATGCCATTGTACAGAACACTGGTGAGACCTCACTTGGAGTATTGTACACAGTACTGGAGACCGTATCTTCAGAAGGATATTGATACCTTAGAGAGGTTCAGAGAAGGGCTACTAAACTGGTTCATGGATTGCGGGATAAAACTTACCAGGAAAGGTTAAAGGATCTTAACATGTATAGCTTGGAGGAAAGACGAGACAGGGGGGATATGATAGAAACATTTAAATATATAAAGGGAATCAACACAGTAAAGGAGGAGACTATATTTAAAAGAAGAAAAACTACCACAACAAGAGGACATAGTCTTAAATTAGAGGGACAAAGGTTTAAAAATAATATCAGGAAGTATTACTTTACTGAGAGGGTAGTGGATGCATGGAATAGCCTTCCAGCTGAAGTGGTAGAGGTTAACACAGTAAAGGAGTTTAAGCATGCGTGGGATAGGCATAAGGCTATCCTAACCATAAGATAAGGCTAGGGACTAATGAAAGTTTTTAGAAAATTGGGCAGACTAGATGGGCCGAATGGTTCTTATCTGCCGTCACATTCTATGTTTCTATGTTTCTATGTTTCTATGCTATGATATGCATTGGGAGTATATAGATCAAGACACTATCACTTTAATAGTTTAGCTTTGACACTGCAGGTTTCTAATTGTGTTTATTACACAGTCATTAGCATGTTCTTGGATTTTTTATTTATGTCATTTCATTGAACAATTAACCTTTATCATAGAGCAATAAGTATCATCCAGTTGGTTTGGTTATTATAACTTTCTTGTTCCCACACGCTCGTCCTTCGAGGAGAGAAGGCGGAGATTAGAGGAGGAGGAGAGCTCCCCGCCCGGCACTGGAGAAAGAGGTAAGTTTAACCCCTTCCTCTCCCCAGAGCCGGGCGGGAGGGGGTCCCTGAGGGTGGGGGCACCCTCAGGGCACTATAGTGCCAGGAAAACGAGTATGTTTTCCTGGCACTATAGTGGTCCTTTAATGAATCTTTTTTTTGTTTGTTACTTTTTACCGTTTTCACAGTTTTCCCTATGTGTTTTTTTCCTGAATGCGTCTATTCATTAAATAGTAAGTTGAAAAATTAGTCCAAAATAGAAAAATTGGAAAAAGTCTCCTATTTTGACCTAATTTTTAAGCTTTTAGAGACTTATCAAATCACTGTTTAGTGAATGGACCTTCAAGTGTCTGCCTGCTTGATCTTTTTATTTTTTTGTGAGACAGGGCATAGTAAGTGTGCCCAGTATGTCAGTGTGCCCAGTCATTCAGTGTGTCAGTCAGTCAGTGTGCCCAGTCAGTCAGTGGGCCAGTTAGTCAGTCAGTGTGCCCAGTCAGTCAGTGTGCCCAGTCAGTCAGTGTGCCAGTCAGTCAGTGTGCCAGTTAGTCACTCAGTGTGCCAGTCAGTCATTGTGCCAGTTAGTCAGTCAGTGTGCCAGTCAGTCAGTGTGCCAGTCAGTCAGTGTGCCAGTTAGTCACTCAGTGTGCCAGTCAGTCATTGTGCCAGTCAGTCAGTGTGCCAGTCAATGTGCCCAGTCAGTCAGTGTGCCCAGTCAGTCAGTGTGACAGTTAGTCAGTCTGTGTGCCAGTCAGTCAGTGTGTCAGTCAGTCAGTGTGCCAGTTAGTCACTCAGTGTGCCAGTCAGTGTGCCAGTCAGTCAGTGTGCCAGTCAGTAAGTCAGTGTGCCCAGTCAGTGTGCCAGTTAGTCAGTGTGCCAGTAAGTGTGCAAGTCAGTCAGTGTGCCAGTTAGTCAGTCAGTGTGCCAGTTAGTCAGTGTGCCAGTTAGTCAGCATGCCAGTCAGTCAGTGTGCCCGTCAGTCAGGGTGCCAGTTAGTCAGTCAGTGTGCCAATTAGTCAGTGTGCCAGTCAGTGTGCCAGTCAGTCAATGTGCCAGTCAGTCAGTGTGCCAGTCAGCCAGTGTGCCCAGTCAGTGTGCCAGTTAGTCAGTCAGTGTGCCAGTCAGTGTGCCAGTCAGTGTGCCAGTCAGTCAGTGTGCCAGTCAGTCAGTGTGCCAGTCAGTAAGTGTGCTAGTCAGTGTGGCAGTCAGTCAGTCAGTGTGTTACCTCCTCTGCTTCCACTCTGGTCACTCCCCACATGCAGTCCAGGAAGAGGACATGGAAGCTCTGCCCTCCTCTTCTACGGACTTCTATGGTGTCTGAAAGTAGGGGGAAGAGGCAGGCTGGGGGTGGAGTTAATGTATCTGGGGGCAGATAAAGGTGGGGTTAGCCGTGGGACGGGCAGGACTAGTGTTTTGTGGCCGGGCAAAAGCGGGGTTACATGAGGAAGAGAGAGGCTCTCTTGAATGACCAGGAGGAAGGTAGGAGCAGTGAGAGGCAGGAGCGACTGGCAGCTCTATCGCTGGTTGAGGTGGCACAAGACACATATACTCCTGGGAAATCCAGAGGAGCATTACAGCCCGTGCTGGCACCCGCAGGCCACTGCCTACTTGGCCTAATGGGAGCGCTGGCCCTGAGTGTTCTCCGGATCCCTC